AAGACGGGGGAACAACAAAACAGGATACAAAAAAATAAACGGCGGCGCGGCCGTCATTTTTTTGTCGAGGGGGGGGGGGGGGTGATCGGCGGCGAGAAACAAGGAATCTGACGTGGCCCCATCTGCCCTCACCCCTAGAAGGATTCGTATTAAACGCCCCCACAAGAAGGATTCATAGCGAAATCCTCTACAGAAAGATTCCAATCGAAACCCTGCACTGAAAGATTCCGATTGAAATCCTCCGCAGATGGATTCCGGTTGAAATCACCCGCAGAAGGATTGCTCTTGAGATGTTTCGAAAGAAACAACCCCCCCCCATTAGCATTGCATGGGCAATCGGTTTGTAATGTTGTGGTATCGCATTGGCATTGCGTTGGCATTGCGCATGGCGGTGCGTTGGCAGTGCGTTGGCATTGCGCTTGCATTTCGCAAGCATTGCGCTGAAGAGTCCTAATGGAGCCTTCCACAGAAGGACTCCCATTGAAACCCTCTACAAGAAGGAATCCGTCTGACACCCTCCACAAAAAGGGTTCATTTTGACACCCTCCACAGAAGGATTCCATGCGAAACCCTCCAGAGAAGGATTCATATTGAAATCTACCACATGATTTCCCCCATTTGCACTGCATTGGCATTGGGTTGGGATCGCCTTGGCTTTGGTTTGGCATTGCGTTGGCGCTGCTTTGGCATTGCGCTGGCTTTGCGCTAGCGAATTCCAATACCTCCCTTCGCAGAATGATTCCTATTGACCCCCCACAAGAAGGGTTCCGATTGAAGCATTCCACAAGAAGGGTTCATATTGAAATCCCTCACGGAAAGATTCCATTCGAAGCCCTCAACAGAAGGATTCCGATTGAAATTGGCCATAAACGAGTTATTCTATTGGAATTGCATCGGCATTGGATTGGGATTGCCTTGGCATTGCGTTGGCATTGCGTTGGCATTGCACTGGCGAGTTCTAGTGGCTCCCACCACAGAAGAATTCCGATTAAACCTTCCACAATAGGGGATCCTTTTTGAAAGCTCCCACATGAAGGATTCATAGTGAAACCCCCCATCGCAGAAGGGTTCCAATCGAAACCCTCCACAGGAGGATTCCTATCGAAATCCTTCGAAGTAGGATTCGTAACCAAATCAGCTACAGAAAGATTCATATCGGCTGAAGAACAGGAATCCCGCCATTGCATTGGTAGTGGTTTGGCAACGGTTTGGCATCGCATTTGCATTGCGACGGCAGTGCGTTAGCAGTGCGTTGGCACCGCGTTGGCATTGCGCTGGCATTGCGCCGGTGATTCCTAATGAGACACTTCGCAGAAGGATTCCCAGTGAACACCCCCACAAGAAGGATGCTTATTGTACCCCTCCACAAGAAGGATTCAACTTGAAATCCTCCACATAAGGGTTTCATGCGAAGCCCTCCACAAAAGGTTTCCTATGGCAATCCCCCGAGGAAGGGTTCTCATAAGGGTTCCTCTGTCCATGACATCATCCACAGAAGGGTTCTTACAAAGGTTGCTATTGACATCTACCGCGAACGATTCCCCCCATTGGCGTTGCATTGGCATTACATCGGGATCGCCTTGGCATTGGTTTGGCATTGCGTTGACACTGCTTTGTCATTGCGCTGGCGAGTTCTAATGGCTCCCCCCACAAACGGATTCCTATTAAAACCTTCCGCAAGCAGGGATCCGTTTGAAGGCTCCCACATGAAGAATTCATATCGAAACCCTCCGCAGAAGGATCCCACTCGAGACTCTCCGCAGGTAGGATTCTTTTTTGGAATCTACCACCAAGGATAACCCCCCCATTGGCATTGCATTGGCACTGTATTAGGATCGCCTTGGCATTGCTTTGGCATTGCGATGGCACTGCTTTGGCATCACGTTGGCATTGCGCTGGCGAGTCATAACGGCTCCCTCCGCAGACGGACTCCTACCACCACCTTCCACAAGAAGGATCCCCACTGAATCTTCCCACAAGGAGGATTCCTAGTGAAACCCTCCACAGGAGGATCCCTAACAAAACGTTGCACATAAGCATTCCTATTGGAGTCCTCCTCAAGAAGGATTCGCAATGACATCATCCGCAAAGGCTTCTTATTGACATCCATCGAACGAAAGGATCCCCCCCGTTGTCATTGCATTGGCATTGGCATTGGTTGGCAATGGATTGGCATCGCATCGGCATGCATTGGCCTGGTGCAAGAGATAGACAAAGAGAGAGAGAGAGAGAGAGAAAACACGAGATATTGACATTGCGTGAGAAGAATACTAGGGGATCACGGCGAAAAGAAAATTACAAAACTCCCCCGGCCTCGAGAACCTCCTCCTCCTCCTCCTCGTCCTTCTCCTCCTCCCCCTTCCCCTCCTCCTCCTTCTCCTCCTCCTCCTCCTCCTCCTTCTCCTCCTCCTCCTCCTTCTCCTCCTCCTCCTCCTACCCTCTTGCCCTCCGCCTCCCCTTTTCTCCCCTGGTGGCGTTCGGGACATGTTCGGCCTCCTTCCGCGTACTGGTTTCTCACACGCAGGATTCCCGGGAAACGGGTGTTCGCTTTGTTTGTTGTCGAAATGCTGCTCTCGTTGGAGCGTTGGCCTCATTTTCGGGCTACCGCTCGTTCCGAATCGTGTTCCCGCTGCAGCGCTGGCCTCATTTCCGCGCTTCCGCCCGTTCCGAATCGTGCTCCCGCTGTAGCGATGGCGTCATTATTTCCAGAGCCATACCATGGCATGGTTTTCGGTCCTTCCAAATAGGCCCCAAAGTCTAGAAAATGCTCCCCCCGATAGAACTATCGGAAGTGATTGCATATTCGGTGCTGATTCGTTGATTATTTGGGCCGCAGGAGCCGCCCCCCCACTTTGGGGCGTCGCCACGCCATGCTATGTCAGTCTACGCGTAACTCTTCAACACAATGTTATGCCATGTAATGCTATGCCATGCTACGGCATCCGATTGTGCGAACAGAGATCCACGCCATGGCGAGTGATGGGAGGGAGGGGCAGGACGTCAGATATGACGCGAGCGCACCTAGCTTGTCTCCCTCCCTTCTCCTCAACCCCCCACACCCAACCCTACCCACCCCGAGGGCGGGGCGTGGGCCGTCTCCCTCGTGCTCGCGCTCCTCCACCGCGGCTCTGCGCGCACGCCGGCCCCGCGTGGGCTTGAGCTTTGCCCTCGCCTCCCGTCCCCTCGTGCTCGCCCTCCCCACTCTCGTCCCTGTCACTGGCCTCCTCCCCCTCCTCCGCGCCCTCCCCCCGCCGCAGGGTGCCTCGCTAAACGTGGTGGACAGAGCGTGGAGCTCAAAAAAAAAATCCCCCCCATCCTCCCGTGGCCAGGATCCGCTCTGACCCCGTGCCCGTCTCGCTCTGCGTGTCCAAGGGCTCTCCACTTCCCTCGGGGCGCCTTCCGGCCAGGACGTGGAAGGGGGGGTGCGGCCACTGCGGCGAGGACCCTCCGCGAGGCCCCCAAAAAGGGGGCGGTAGCCATCGCAGCTCCCAGAAGACGAGTGATCCCTCTTCCTCGTCCTCCACCTGTCTTGTGTTCTTTAGGCAAGCTGCTTGGCCTGGACGCGTCGCCCCTCTCCTCCTCTCTCGTCCCCGTCCTCCTCCTTCTCCATCCTTCGTCCTTGTAGATACCCCCTCCCTGTCGCGCCACCTGGCGTGTCGTTAGGGCCGGCCTGGCGTCTCGCCAGTGACGTCCACGCGGTTTGTGATCTCGAAGCTTGAAGTCAACAGTGGTTCACCAGATGGATGACAGGTCGTTTCCAGTGAGGCTCTCGTTATCGCGCCGCGCACACGCGCCTCAACCACTGCCCGCAGTTGCACGAACGGGGGGGACCCGTCCTCCGAACGAGGATCCCGTTCTGGCGCCTCGCGCCCTTTCTGGACACACACACACAGAGACTGCCCGTTACAACACTGGTGGATGGGAGGCGTTGTCCACGGTAGGGTGCATTCGCCTCCGCTCCGCGCAGACGCGTTCTGTTTGCAACAGTTGCGCGGACCGAGCGTGGTTCGTTTCCAGCATGCGGCTCCCGCATGACTTGTCCGATCAGTGTTGTACCCCACCGTTAGGGGCAGCAGTTACACGGTGGGAGGGCGGTTCCTTTGTAACACTGAGTTTTTTATTTTTCCTCCGACGTCTTGTGAGTGTATGGTCCGACGTTTCATTGCGCAGCACTTGCACGGGTGGGTGCCACTTCTTTTTTAAAGGGTTTACCGTTTCATATGTGTGATTGCTTCTCTACTGCTGGAGGGTTGGAAGGTGGATCCTTTGCACATTGGGGGCCTCACCTGAAAGACAGGACCACGTGGCGTTCGCTTGTCAAGGGGGCCGCTTCCCGCGGTGGACAAAGAGTACCTTTGGGAACTCGTGGGGGGAGGACCTTGGATCAGAGGGAGGGTGTATTGCTTAACTTGGGTCCTCCTCCTCACATGGCTCGGGCTAAACAGCATGTCCCGTTATGGTGTTGTTCTCGTTTTACCGTGTTCTGTGTTCATTCGGTTGTTGCTGCAAAGCGAGATCAGAACGGAAACGGTCCAAGCCATCGCCAAACACACAGTTTGGTTCGCGCTCTGGCTTGGCATCGCTCGGACGTGTGCATTTTCCTCGGTGGGGACCATCGAGGAGCATCCTTGATCATTTGGCGAAAAAGCCACGCACGAAACCGAAAAACACAGGGAATGGACGTCCGAGCGATGGCGAGCGGGACGCACGGTTGCGAACAGTCTTACTAAGCAGAGGTCTGGAACCAGTTTCCCCCCCTGTCCCCCCCTTCCGCCAACTGTCGAATCGCCAACTGTTCACCTGCCTCAGCTTTCTTCCTCCCTCCTCCTCGTCCTCGTCCTGGCTCGCCTGCTCGACGACGCAGTCCTTCGGGGCAGCTCGGCGTCGTCGTCGACGTCGTCGTCGTCGACGTCGTCGTCCTCGTCGTTCTCAACGTCGTTGCCGCCGTCGTCCCCGTCGTCGTCCTCGTCCTCGTCCTCGTCCTGGCTGCGGGGCCGCAGTTCGTGGACTCGGTGGGGAGGAAGGTGTCGGACACAGTGCTGCAGGACGCCTTCTTCGAGGAGTGCCCCCTTGGGGACCGCCCCAGAACGAGAACGGGCGGGAGGGGGGAACCGCGTCTTCTCCTCGTCCTCCTCCTCTTTCCCCTCCTCCTCCCTCCCTCCATTCCCTCCCTCACCCTCCTCCTCAGATTTGTCCTCATCCTGGCCTCGTACGAGGGGTCCAGGGAGCTGGCTGGGTTTTTGCACGGTGCTGCAGTGATTTCAGATCCAGGTTGAGGGGGAAGAGTATCTAGAAGGGCTTAGAGTCGAGAACCAGTCAATCAGTCAGGAATCGTAATTACCTAGGCGGCACATCGGGTGCAGATCACATGCGTGGGCTCCCACACAATGGCACTCCAGCGTCAGATGGTACTGTCTGGAAATATGGTCACTCATGCCCGACCCCGCCACGAGGCCGACAAGGTAGACGACCCTGGAAAGCAGCGGCAGCAGGTGGCAGGGGAGGGAGCGACACCAGGAGACCAGGACGAGCCCCGGAGCAGGGGGAGAGAGGAGAGCAAGCGACAAATGACGAGCCAGGTGTTCTGTTCCATCCGTCGAAGTCGACTGCAAGGTTCGCTCGCTCTGCTGCAGCCTTGACAGGAGGAAGCTATGCGGTCAGTGCTGGAACCGCAAGTATTTCCGCGTGCGTGCAGACCTGTGCCCTTGCTCTACGCACGCGCGCAGCACACTTTCAAACCAGGTCTTCGCCAGGCCCAGCGGGAAAGAACGAAGACAAGCGAAAGTGGTTCGGCACACAGCTGCAGTTTTCTGGGGACCGCCCATGCCCTAGTCTATCAAAGTCCCCGTTCACGCGGCCCAGAACGACTATTGAAGAATTGCGTGCCTGGAGGCCTAGACGGATTTATCGGATTTGCGCTGGAGCCCCCAGGCGGTGCCTCCAGCGCCGCACCGGCGCGCTCCGTGCGCCAGGAAGGAGGTCAAGGCCCGATCGCCAAAACCGGTGCGGACATGCGAGGGCGTATGTTTATGTCTGTTCTGTTTTCCTCTAGAGCTGCGAGCAGTCGGAGGATCGATGGTTTCAGAATTTCGGTTCGAGAGGAGCTCGCCACTGCCGTCGACCCCCATTCCGAAGAGAAAACGAGTGGCTTCCTATTTCGCGCGTGGCGTTCGCCGATTTATGTCATGGCGCTTGCGCGTAGTGCTGATTAGTCCTCCTCTTCCTCCGCGTCTGTTGCGGGTTTTCTTGGGGGCGTTTTGGAGGCCTCGGGGGTGGCCCTTGGGAGTCTTTGGAGGGCTCCTGAGGATTATTGGTGCCCAAGGGGCTTTTTGGGAGCCTCTTGGTGGCCTCTTTGGGGCATGCTCAAGATCTTGGTGGCCATCGGGTTCCCAGGACCCCTGCGAATTCCACCTCTTGTTCCTCTCTTCGGCCCCTTCGGAAACCCTGTTGAAGGCCGTTTCTGCTGTCCTGCCTCCTGGGCCCTGGGCCGTCTCGGGACGGTCTGGGGGGCTCGTCGGGCCGTCTGGGCCTCAATGAGGCACGAGACAGCGAAGACGCAGACGTGCCAACACGAGTGGAAGCTCACGTGAAGCGGCGCCGAACAGAAAGAGATGGAGGAGGAGGAGGAGGAGGAGGAGGAGGAGGAGGAGGAGGAGGAGGAGGAAGAGGAGGAGGAGGAGGAGGAGGAGGAGGAAGAGGAGGAGGAGGAGGAGGAGGAGGAGGAGGGGGGGTGGAAAGAAGAGGAGGAGGAGGGAGGAGGAGGAGGAGGAGGAGAGCAGGGGAAGGAGGAGGAGGAGGAGGAGGAGGAGGAGGAGTTTCGACGTGCGTCGACCTTGGGCGCGCAAGTGTCTCCCGCGCGAGGCCGCGCGTCGGCGCCCCTCTCTTCTCCGCGCGGTGTGCCACGCTGGCGGCCCGCGCCGGCCGCGCCGCGAGGGCTCTGTAGAATCCGGCTTGAACAAGGACTCCTCGCCTACTCCTCCTCCTCCTGCTTTCCTCCTTCTTTCCACCCCCCCTCCTCCTCCTCCTCTTCCTCCTCCTCCTCCTCCTCCTCCTCCTCCTCCTCAAATGGGGCTCTGGCGCTCCTTCGGTTTGCATGCGTTCTGCTACCTTTTCGGCGGCGAGCCCCCTGGTGTTCCTTCAGATTTTGCACGCGCGGGTCCGTTCCTTCGGACTTCGTAGCCTTACCTGGTTGATCGTTCCTTATGGCGTCGTATCTTACCTGGTTTATTGTACCTTCGTAGGCTTACCGGATTGGCGTCGTTCCTTATTTATCGTTCCTTAGGTCAGGCCGAATCCTGTATGTCATCTTGCGCACGGCAGGTTCGTGCGGCGTTGGCGTGCCGCCTAAGGATTTCGACATTGCGTCGATCGCTCAAGCCTGAACCGATCGCGGCCCCGAGCGTTGAGGGTTGAATTCCGTCGGGTGCTGCGGCGTTACCGTGGCCCCTCGGTGCCCCCCGGTGCCCCTCAGTTCGACCTCGAACGCCTTCGCCGATGTCGCCGGCGCGCCCATCGCCGCAGGAACCCACGGTAGGACCCATCTCGTTTCCCTCTCCGCCCCTCCTCCCGCCACGTACCTGCGGCGAGCCCCGCGGGGGGAAGCGAGAAGGGGCGGGCGTTCGCAGAAGGCTCGGGAGTCCCCGGGCCCTCCGAGAAGTTTCATGTTACCAGTTTGAAACATATCCCTACCCCTATGCTGGACATCACCTCACCTCGATGCCGATCTTAAGGACTCCCTCAGTTTCTGAGGGCCTATCCCTAAGATTGTCCTCGCTTTTTGCTCGCCCATCTTAGGGGTAGGGATACGTTCGAGGCTGGTTATCCTGAGCCTTCCGGGAAGACACGGCCGCCCGCCGCGTGGGCGGGCGAGGGCGCGGCCTTCTGCGAAGCGGGGGGGGGCGCCCGCGCGCCCGGGCCGGCACCTCCGGGCCGCACGTCGGCGTGCTGACCCCCTTGGGGGGGGAGAATCGGCGACAGCCAGTCGCAGGGGAGCTTCTATCAAGAGGGGAAGAACACACACATACATAATTCATCGTCGATTCCCCAGAAAGTATTGGAAAATACGGGAAGTGGGGGGGAGGACGAAACCAAGAAAATATAAGAAATGTAGGGGAACCTGTTATTTGTGTGTATTTATTTGTGTGTCCCAGGGTCCCAGGGCCCCTTCATTCTAGGCCTCCTTAGATGGGGTCGGAGTAGATGGGGTCGGGGGACCGCGCCGCCTGGGCGATGCATCGGCGATGCGGCTCGATGTGGCGCCCGATTTTCTCCACGACGGCGTCGCCGATGCATCGCCGACGTCGCCGCTGCATCGCTGATGCATCGCCGATACATCGCCGATGCATCGCCGATGTATCGGCGATGCGGCACCATCCTCCGACCCCATCTACTCGGACCCCATCTAGGCGGCCTCTAGAGCTGCAGCTCTGGGTCTCGTGTCCCAGGTTCCTCTCGGTGGCGAGCGAGGGGGGGAGTTGTGAAGGAGAAGGCCTTCTCAGGAGGCGGCTGGACTTCTCGGAAGCCCTCGCGCCTTCTGAGATGCTTGCTGTGTCTTCGGGGAAGGCTCAGGAAATCTTTCAGCAGAAGGCCAGGAGACTGCGAGCGTTCTGAGAAGGCCTTCTCCTTCTCACTTCCCCCCCCTCGCTCGCCGCCGATCCTCTGCTTTCAGAACCTATCGTCAGGATGTGCCGAGCGAGGCACATGCCGTAGCACCCCACGAGGGAGCCGCCAGGTGGCGTTACAGTGGCCCGTTCGCGCCCAGATTGTGGGAGAACGTCTCAGGCAGTTTGCCTGCCTGGTGCCCCAATCTCCTCCCTGCTTTCAAAAAGCAGATCGTGAAGATGTCCACAGCGAGGCGCTTGTTTTGTGAGCCCAATGGGTAGCTGCCACTCCCTTCGCTCGGCGGCGAGCGAGGGGGGAAAGTGAGACAGGGCGGGCCTTCTCAGAAGGCTCGGAAGTCCACTTGCCTTCTGAGAAGTTTCCCGAGCCTTCCCCGTACGCACAAGTCACTTCTCAGAAGGCGCGAGGGCTTCTGAGAGGTCCCGCCGCCTGCTCACAAGGCCTTCTCCTTACCATTTTTCCGCCTCGCTCGCCGCCGATTCCCATTTCCCGCCCTCCCTCCGCTCTGGCCCATCTCCCGTCGCCCCCCCCGCGCAACGCGTGCGATAGCGCGCCAGGAGGGCGAGGACAGCGCCGGGCTTCTCGCGGTGCGCCGCCGCCGCCGCCTTCAGCCGCGCCGCCCCACCCCCCTCGGGCCCTGGGAAAGGGGGGCAAAACTCGAGCAGTGGCGGAGCGTCCTGGCCTGCCTATAGGCTCACCAAAGAATGGTCAACTTACCTCTTCGTGGTCTGCACGAAACGTTCTTAGAACATTTCTCGCTGAGACTGTCTTGTTGCTACACCGGGTTTGTGTTCTAAGAATGTCGTGGTGGGCCTACAGAAATACTGGGACGACTGGTCCCTGCTCAAACATCGGAGGCATTTCTCGAAAGGTGATTCCCACGACACCAGGCCAGCGATAAGAGCACACGGAGGTCAGCGGACGTGGTGACGCGACACACCACAATTTTCACGACACGGCGGTTGGTACGACGCATGCTGAATCCGAGCGTGCGCGAAGGGTGATGATGCCGTTCCAGGAGCCCAGGCATGCGGGAGTGTTTCTTCAGGGCTAGGACGGCGTTGCGAGGCGATCCGACGTGGAGGAGTACGATTGCGCCAGCGCTGGCTTGGTCTCACACGATGTGGATGGCCGAGACTCGACCCCAGCAAGCCTTCTTCTCGATCCAGGAGCTGTGCAGCATGTGGCGCTCGAGAGGACTGGGTGGCAAGCGTGCCCCCCGCTCGACTGTCGCGACAATAAATGGCTTGCATATACCCGTGTTGTACACGACTCCCTCGATGGTTGTTCAGTTCGTCAGTTTGGGGCTTCAGGGACATCGCCAGAGGGACCGACATCGGTTGGGAGCTTAGGCCCAGAGTATACGTGGAACCGATCATAGGGATTACCAAGGCAGGGGCTAACGGCACTGTGCTCAATGCGCAAGACGCATGCGTAGTCATGTTGTGTTTCTGTGAGGGATTTTGGACGGAATGCCGAGCCCACAAGGTTGGCTAATTCACCCTATGTATGCGCCCATTATGTTAAGAGCCTGACTCAGTAGGCCATTGGACTTACAGGTGCCAGCATGCGGACGTCCATGTCGCGAGAGAATTGGTCATGGCGCCCGACCCTTTCGAACATGCGATGGACGGTGACTCTCCGCTTTACCAGGCGCTCCAGCTCGGATACCCAGCTGAGGTATGACACCGAGCGGCGGACTTACATGGGCCAGCGTTGAATGACATGAAGGGAGAAGTTGCGCCATGGGATGAGTTTGATTGTTCGTGGCTCACTAATGCGGGTGACAGGTCGCGGCTTAGACGTACGATCAACGAACTTTCACGGGCATCGTACGCGTGGGTGTTCTTTGATGGTAGGGGGAAGCAGGAATACACTGCGTATGGAGTGGTCTGGTCGAGCCTGCCACAGACTGGTCAAGCGGCGGAACAGTTGCACTCAGCGCAGCTACCTGTTTGTTTGCCCAGGTACGGACCAGCGGTTCACATCGAGCGACTGTATGAGTGCGGTGAGGTTGCGCAGCATGACCCCAGCTAAACAGTTCTCGCCCAAGCAGAGTTATGGGAAATTGGGAAGAGATGCGTCCGCATTTGTGAAACCGAGTATGCCCCAGTTGTTCACACGATTGCCCCTAATAAGCTTTTGGATAGTGATTTGGTTTCATATCTTGGGAAGTGGATAGGCCAGCTAATTGGCGGGCGGGCATCGAGGCCAAGAGAGCTCTTGACGCCCGTCCCAGAGCCTCTGGGGAGGAATGGCTGCAGCTTCAGAGCTCGACTGAGAGAATCGAAATGGCTGCACGTCTGGTGGCGGCGACCGTGCCGTCTAGTTCCGGAAGGTGCTGCACCAGCGCCCGCCAAGAAGTGAGCAGCCGCGTAAGGTGGTGGCCGAAGCGTCTGGCTGGCACGAGTGGGTCCCGTGGCTGCGGGACCACAGGTGTGACCATTGTTTTTATTTTTATTGGGGGAGCCACACAGGACAGGCCTGAAGTAGGCTAGCGTGGGATCCCCACAGTTTTTGAGTACCCTGCTGGCCCAGGCCTCACGCAATGGCCACAAGCTGGCGAGTACCCAGGTTGGCGATGAGGAGCTGCAGCTGTTTCCCAAACAGTGCTTGCAATTAGTGGTTCTTCCTCGGCTTAAACATCTCGGGGTGTGTGGCGGCTTTTGCAGGCGGTGCCGACAGTCGCCGCCGTCGCCGTCGCGGGCCGTCGCATACATGAATTGCCCCGCAAGGACTGCAATGCGTACATAGGTCGCACCGCGTAGATTGCACATAGATTGCACCGCTAAAATTGCATTATGCAGGTAGCATCGCGTAAATTGTAGCACGTAGGTTGCACCGCATAGATTGCATCGCATATATTGTATTACGTAGGTTGCATCGCGTAGATTGCACCACGTAGATTTCATTATATAGTTCATAGATGCTCCTGTCTAAGAAGAAGATAGACTCTCCCCCCCCCGGCGTTATCGCCCCCCTTTCGGGTATGTAAATCACATATGATTATGACCACACGTCCATCCTAAATATGAAATCACAATGTCCCAGGCCAACCAGTATCGGCCCTCATGCTGTTCCCTTGTAAAAACAACTATGTGGTGTTTTTCTGTTCTAACATAGCACTTGTTCGCGAATCCCTTGCAAAAAAAGGGACGAAGTGCGCACGCGCGCGTCGTCGCGCGCGCTTGCCGAAATCCTTGAAAAACCTTCGGTGTCGGAAGGATGTCGCAATCGAGTTTCCAACAACACATACAAAAACACAGGGCTTCGCAACACTGATTTGCTGAAAAAGCGTACGCGCGAGCTCTTGCGAAATCTTGAAAAAAAACCATAGGTTTTTCAAGATGTTCACAACATGCTACCAAACGGGCGTTGCGCGCGCGCATGTCGAAATCTGTCGAACGCCCTTGCGCGTGTGCCGTCGCGAGAATCCTCTGCAAAAAATGGGACGAAGTGCAGACGCCCGCGTCGTCACGCGCGTACGCCGAAATCCGTCAAAACCCATCGGTATCGGAAGAATTTCAAAATCGTGTTTCCAAAAAATCTACAAAAACACAAGGTTTCGCAACACGGATTTTCAACAAAAGCGTGCGCGCGCGCTCTTGCGTCGTCGTCGTCGTCGTCGTCGCCGTCCTCCCTCCTCCCGCGTCGTCGTCGTCGTCGCCTACTTCCTGTGTCTTTCCTCGTGTTCGTCGTCGTCGTCCTCTTTGGCGTTGTGGTCGTTTCCGTCGTCGTTGTCGCCGTGGTCGTCCTTCCTCCTCCTCCCTCCTCGTCGTCGTCGTCCGTCGTCGGCGTCTCGTCGTCGTCCCTCCTATTTCGTCGCCGTCGTCGTCGTCGTCGTCGTCGTCGTCTCGTCGTCGTCGTCTTCCCTCCTCCCTCGTCGTTGTCGTCGTCGGCGTCGCCGTCCTTCCTCCTTCTTCGTCGTTCGCGTCGTCGCCGTCCTCCCTCCTCCCTCGTTGTCGTCATTGTCTTTGTTGTCGGCGTTGTCGCCGTCGTCATCCTGCCTCCTCCCTCGTCGTCGTCTTCGTCGTCGTCGTCGTCTTCGTCGTCGTCGTCGGCGTCGGCGTCGTCGTCTTCGTCGTCGTCGTCGTCGGCGTCATCGTCGTCGCCGCTGTCGTCGTCGTCGTCGTCGTCGTCGGCCGTCTTGCTTCTCCTCCCTTCTTGGGGCGCTCTTGAGAGGCCCCCGAGGGCTCAAAGACGACCCCGGAGCGATATCTGTGCTCGGTCCCGCATGGGTTTTGCACACCAAGTTGCGGGTGGGTGGGTGGGATAATTGCGCGATCAGTGGAGTTGACAACTTCAAGTTCGGCAAGTGGATTCTCCCTTTCTTAAAAAGATATGGACTCTACCCCCCTCGGCGGCGTTATCATTCCCCCCGCGTCCTATGTAAATCACATATGATTCTGACCACACGTCCGTCCTAAATATGAAATCACAATGTCCCAGGCCAACCGGGTTCCCCCCCTGAGGTTCCTGCTGAAAAACACTTTGCGGTGACATTTTTTGTTCTGACATAACACTGTTTCACGAATCCCTTGCAAAAAATTGGATGAAGTGCGCACGCGCGCGTCGTCGCGCGCGCATGCCGAAATCCTTGAAAAACCTTCGGTGTCGGAAGGATGTCGCAATCGAGTTTCCAACAACACATACAAAAACACAGGGTTTCGCAACACTGATTTGCTAAAAAAGCGTACGCGCGAGCTCTTGCGAAATCTTAAAAAAAACCATAGGTTTTTCAAGATGTTCACAACATGCTACCAAACGGGTTTCGCGCGCGCGCATGTCGAAATCTGTCGAACGCCCTTGCGCGTGTGCCTTCGCGAGAATCCTCTGCAAAAAATGGGACGAAGAGCAGACGCGCGCGTCGTCGCGCGCGTATGCCGAAATCCGTCAAAACCCATCGGTATCGGACAGATTTTTACATCGTGTGTCCAAGAAATCTACGAGGACACATGGTTTCGCAACACAGATTTTCAACAAAAGCGTGCGCGCGCGCTCTTGCGTCGTCGTCGTCGTCGTCGTCGTCGTCGCCGTCCTCCCTCCTCCCGCGTCGTCGTCGTTGTCGTCGTCTACGTCGTCCTCTGTCTTTCCTCGTGTTCGTCGTCGTCGTCCTCTTTGGCGTCGTGGTTGTTTCCGTCGTCGTTGTCGCCGTGGTCGTCCCTCCTCCTCCCTCTTCGTCGTCGTCGTCCGTCGTCGGCGTCTCGTCGTCGTCCCTCCTATTTCGTCGCCGTCGTCGTCGTCGTCGTCGTCGTCTTCCCTCCTCCCTCATCGTTGTCGTCGTCGGCGTCGCCGTCCTCCCTCCTTCGTCGTTCGAGTCGTCGCCGTCCTCCTTCCTCCCTCGTTGTTGTCGTTGTCGCCGTCGTCGTCCTCCCTCCTCACTCGTGGTCGTCGTCGTCTTCGTTAGTGACGTCGTCGTCTTCGTCGTCGTCGTCGGCGTCGTCGTCGTCGCCGTCGGCGTCGTCGTCGTCGTCGTCGTCCTCGTCGTCGGCGTCGTCGTCGCCGTCGTCGGCGTCATCGTCGTCGGCGTCGTCGTCGCCGTCGTCGGCGTCGGCGTCGTCATTGTCGTTCGTCGGTGTCGCCGCCGTCGTCGTCGTCGTCGTCATCGTCGTCGTCGTCGAAGTCGTCGGAGCCGTCGTCGGTGTCGTCGTAGTCGTCGTCGACGACGTTTTCGTCGTCGTTTTTGTCGCTGTCGTCGTCGGCGTCGCTGTCGTCGCCAAGAGCCATTTGGTATCCACCGTCGTGGTCTGAAGATGTATTGCTACCAAGTTGCGGGTGGGAGGGTGGGATGTTTGCACGAGCAGTGGAGAGGACAGCTTCACGACAGTCGAAGTGGATTGCACCACATATATTGCACCACATAGATCGCACCGCAGATGTTGCATTACAGAGGTAGCACCGCGTAGATTGCACCACATATATTGAAGCCCATAGATTTCACCGCGTAGATTGCATTCTATAGGTTACATCGCATACATTGCAGCACGTGGATTGAACCGCATAGATTGCAAGAACCTACTGTTCGGGGTCCACGCTGGCTAATTTTGTCTGCCAGGAAAAATCCATCAGTTGGCAACGCAGTGCAAGCCTGATTTGCACAGTTGGTACGGATTCCCTGTCCAGGCTAACGCGGGGGTGGCACCCCACGCGTGATGTGCACGTTTCTTGCGCGGCGTATGAAGCGCCAGTTCCAGGCCCAGCCAGAGCTCCGAGGCAGCAGCAACTGGTTGCGAAAGCGACCCTCTTGGAGAGTCTTGCTGCTATCCGCTCCTGGATCGCCGAGAAGGAAAGACGTCGGGGCTAAGTGGGGGCGTTTTGCTTGTGTCACTGGGTGAGCGTTTTTCCCTCTCCGGCGTAACGCTTGTTCTCCGGGCCAACCATCCCCCCCCCCTCCCCCGGGTAACGCTAACGATAGTGCCGAGGGGAAGGGGGAGCCTGCCCTCCACCTACATGTTGGGAGCGGACCCCCGCAGGTATGGTGCTGTGCTTACAGGCGCGGTGTGGTCTGAACGGCACGCACTGATGCTCACAAACTTGTTGTGGCGCTCGCAGTCGTCGTCGTCGCCGTCGCCGTCGCCGTCGCCGTCGTCGTCGTCGTCGTCGTCGTCGGCGTCGTCGTCGTAGTCATCGTCGTCGTGTTCGTCGTCGTCGCCCAATGCAGCTGGCGATGGCCCAGCTACCGCAGGCTGGTTCGACCACTTTTCCGCAAGTGCAGAATGCGGTGGCTCGCTCTCTTCCTTCTGGCCGGTGCTCGGTCGCAGTGCGATACAGTCAGCGCGCCTAATAAGAACGCGCACCTTCTCCAGGGCACCTTTGGGTCCTTGTCTCTGCGGCCTGTCTTTTGCCTGTTTCATTTGCTTGTTTTTGCAATACATATCCGAATTCGGCTTCCAAGGGTCTTGCGTTCTTACCACCCGTCTGATTGTAGACCCAGCGCCAGGGACAAAATGAAGACTGGGCGGCCCCGTGCCTTCTCCCGCAGGCGCTGTGGTGTGCGCGGGCGATGTGGTTCTCGCAGGCAGCGTGGTGCACACCTGCGCTGCGTTGCACACGGTTGTTGCGGTGTACACCAGCGTTGTGGTGTACGCGGGCATTGTGGTGCACGCGTGTAGAAGCCTCAAACGCTCGAGTTTCCATGCGGATCTGTTTCAAAACATGCGTATAAACAGGTCGTATTCTCTGAATCCAGAGGCGCGCCCCAATTGCGAGACGGATTTGTTTTAGATAAAACAACAGTGGACGGGAATTCTGAAACGTTTTGCTTTCCATGGCGATTTGTTTGCCACATTCTATATAAACGTGGGGTTTGGTGAAACCCGGTGGCGATTTGTTTTCCACCGTTTTTTTTGTAGTCCTATGGTCAACCGTAGTTCTTTGTATGATATTACTACAAACATGTGTTGCTGCAGTATGCACAGGCACTGCGGTGCGCATGGGCTACATGGTGCTGCAGTGCACTCGGCTGTTGTGGTGTACGGTGTCACCGCGATGTGAACACAGGTGGCGCTGTGGCTGCACGTAAGTTTTGGGCATCGTCGTGCGCACAGACGATTGATGCGCCGGTGGCGCGGACGCACTTTGGCAGGCGCGCGCCGCGGCCGCCATTACTTTGACCCCCCCGCTCGACCCTTCGCCTCTCCCCGGGCAGCGGCCGTTACACAGGGGGAACAATCACTGCTTCGGCCGATGGCGGCCCCCAAAACAATGGGGTATAATACCAAGACGTGATTGGATGTTGTTGGAGCAGCTGGGAGACGGATGGCCCTGCACGCGCTCGCATCTGACCGGGCCCCGGCGCGCCCGCGCCGCGTCTACAGGGCCCGCTCGCCGGTGGACGCGCTAGTGTTGCCCCGTCTTTCGGAAGGTTTTCGGAGGATTCCACCGTTTTTTGTTGTTGTTGTTTTTTTTTTTTTTTTTTTTTTTTTTTTTTTTTATTTTGTTTTTTACATAAAAAATAAATTAGCCACAGTTCGTGGAGAGCGTCTTTGGTCGCCTGGCGAAAGAACGGGCATTACCGCTGGGGGGGGGCGGAGGGATGGGGGGAGTGGGCTGGTCACGTCGCTGTTCGCGCAGACGCCGTTTGGAGATGCCCAGGAATGGTTCGCTCCCAGACGGCAGCGCCCAAGGAGGAGGAGGAGGAGGGTGACGAGGAGGAGGAGGAGAGGAGGAGGAGGAGGAGGAGGAGGAGGAGGAGGAGGAGGAGAAGGAGGAGGAGGAGGAGGAGGACGACGACGAGGAAGACGAGGAGGAGGAGGAGAAGGAGGAGGAGGAATGGCGGCAGGACCAGGAGGAGCAAAACGAGAAAGAGGAAGAGCAGGTGGAGGCGGAAAGAAAATGGAGGGGAGGGGATTAGGAAGTTGAGCAGGTGGGGGGGGGAGGTGGCGGAAGGGTCGTCGTCGTCGTCGTTTCTGCCTTCTGCGCCGTCGTCGCCGCTATCGCCGTCGTCGTCGTCGTCGTCCTGGTCGTCGTCGTCGCCGTCGCCGTTGTCGTTTGTCGATCGGTAGTCTATCGCCGATACTGATACTCGTCGTCGTCGTCGTCGTCGTCGTCGTCGTCGTCGTCGTCGTCGTCGTCAGTCGTCGTCGTCAGTCGTCAGTCGTCAGTCGTCAGTCGTCAGTCGCCGTCGTCGATCCCGATCGTCGGTGGGGGTCCGCGCCCCTGCAGGTGCCGCTGAGTTTCAACCAGCGGGTCCCCGCGGGCTCCACCGGGGACCTGCCGTTCAGCGGGCGCGCCCCCGCCCCGCCCGCGCCCCGGGGTGTGGGCCGGGCCCCGCCCGCTCGCCACGCGGCGCGCGCCGCGCGCGGGCCGCGCGCGCGCTCCGCGCGCGGCGCCTGCGGCCACAGCGCGGGAGGAGGGAGGAGGAGGGAGGAGGAGGAGGAGGGAGGAGGGAGGAGGGAGGAGGGAGGAGGGAGGAGGGGGGGGAGGAGGAGGAGGAGGAGGGAGGAGGAGGAGGAGGGGGTCGGTGGCCACAAGGGTGTGGCAGAGTGCGGTCTGCGGTCTGCGTCGGCTGTGTGTTCGGCGGGCACCTCGGCTCCCGCGTCGGCGCGCCTCGAGGCGCGGCGGGGAGCTCCGTGGAGGTCCGGCCCGCCCCCAGTGGAGGGGCCGAGTCTCCGCCGCCACTGCGTACCGCAGGGGGGACGTTGAGGAGGGGAGGAGGAGGAGGAGGAGGAGGAGGAGGAGGAGGAGGAGGAGGAGGAGGAGGAGGAGGGGGAGGAGGAGGAGGAGGAGGAGGGGAGGAGGAGGAGGAGGAGGAGGAGGAGGAGGAGGAAGAAGAAGAAGAAGAAGAAGAAGAGCAGGAGGACGAGGAAGAGGAGGAGCGGGATGAGGAGGAGGAGGAGGAGGAGGAGGTGGAGAATCTTCCTATCCTCCGTTCTCCCCCGTCTTGCCTATGGTGGCTGTGGTGGAACATGGGCCCATCACCAATGGCGCGCTCTGCAAGCCACACCCTTTGCAAACACCTGCTCCTGCTCCTCCTGCTCCTGGTCCTCCTCCTCCTGATCCTCCTCCTCCTCTTCCTCCTCCTCCTCTTCCGTCTTCTCATCCTTCCCCTCCTCCCATCCTTGCTTCTGCCCCCCGTATATCGAAGATTTCGGCACACCCCTAACACGGTTCGTGGCCGCATCGGGAGCTCCACCGAATGCTGCAGCGGCACAGTCCGTTGGAAGTAGGCATGGTGTGATGTGGTACGTTTGCGGATCGCTGCAAGGTCGCATTGGGGCCTCTTGGTCTGTGGGCCCCCTCGCCACCCTTCCAATGTCTGGTGGGGCCGACCGCCGAGCGTAGTTCCTCGGGCAAACTTTCTGGTTTGGACCTAGGGGCGGGGTTGGCAGGCCTGAGGCGTCCCATCACGTTGTTCCTAACCATCCCGTGGTGCTGGGTTCTCCTTTTCAGGACAGCTCCCAGCCTTTCTCTCACCCGCTGCTCCTTTCCTCCCTCCTCCCATCCTTGTAGCTGCCGCCCCGGATCGATAGGCTTTGTGCGCCGTACCAGGTACGGCGAACCTCTCCCGGGCGGCAGGCAATACGCGCAGGCCGCCGCCCCGCTTGCCGGGCGCCGCAGACTGGCCGTGCAGGCAGGCCTTGCGCCCGCGCGCGGCACGAGGCGACCCGGCTAGGTACCGCCGGGCCCGCTGGCTGAGAGGCCAGGCCCGCACGTTGCTGCGGGCCGCCGCTGCCAGGTCGCTGCTCGCCATGCACCACAGTGCCATGGCTGGCCAGCACGGTGGCAAAGGGGGCCAGCGCGGTGGCATGGGCGGCCAGGCGGCACACTGGCCAGCGCCGTCCCCGCCGCCTCCGCCACAGTGCTGGTGGTGCCCGCAGTACCATGGCGCCAACTCGATGTTGGACAGGCTGTGCAGGATGTGCTACCCGTGGCCGCCCAAGGAGGCGGCGGGACGGTCTGTCGCGACCGCTGGAGCCACGCCAGACCGCCCACACAGCGAGCACCGCGCGCCTTCGCGCAGGCCGCGCCGTCGTCGCGGCAGCCGTGGGGTCCCTGCCCGCGGAGACGGCGTTGCTGGCAGGGCCTCCTTCCCACAGCCCACGAGCGGGGAGCCGGCAGAGGAGCCATCTCCCAGTGGCGCCCCAGGCGCCAGCCGCCCCAGGCGCCGCAGGGCCGCCTGCTCCCCAGACGTGGCGTTCGAGGAGACGGAGGCTGAGGGGGGCGGATCTGCGTCCGAGGCCGAGAGCGGCGTTTTCGAGTCTCCTGGCGTCCTGCCTGCGCTGCTCGTGGATGCCAAGCAGCACAGCAGCTGGATCGAGCCGCCGTCAGCCTCGGACGACATGGTGGACCACCGGCGCAACCTGCGCCGCATGGCGATCGCGGCAGCCAAAAAGTTGCAGGCCTCATGAGCGCTAGGGTTGCAGGGGGCGGTCCTTATCACCCAGGAGAGGGGGTATGTTGTGCGCGCGACGATGATCATAGTTGCTCGCACGTCGGGCGTGCACGCAGAGAGACAGAAAGCCTGCATAGAAAGGGCCAGCAATCGCGCAGACAAGGCCGACATACGCTTGCAGGAGACGTACCACACCTACCTCGACCTCCAGAAGGTCAAGCAGCAGCGAGATGATGAGGTGTCCCGTGCTCAGTTGCTCCTTGCCCAGCTTGAGCAGATGTTCCCTGCGCCCATGGAGGAGGAGGAGGAGGAGTGCATGCCGCCCACGCCGATTGCTACTACGGCTCCATCGCCGCGCTCGCCCCCGCCTCCTGCTCCGCCACAGATGCAGACAGGAGCAGTGGCGGCCGTCGCGGAGCTGCAGCAGGGGCCGGGTCATCACGGCTCAGCAGTTCGCAGGCTTGGCGACGGTCTTGGGAGGGCTGCAGACGGCGCTCTCTAAGATGCACGGAGACCAGGCTGCAGCTGCCGCGGCCGCGGCCGCGCCCGTGTCTGCTGTTCCTGCCCATGCTGGTCTTGCCAGGGGAGGTGAAGACCGTGGCGTAGTGGTTAGTCACGATGGGGACTGCCATCGCACGTGTCATATCGCATGATGTTCGACACATGCTTGTTGCAGTGTGCGCGTCTGGCCTTTGCGTCGATGTCTTGGTTGCCCATGCGCCACGCTCTCGCGCGGATTTGGAATCGACGGCCGAATGGTGGAATAAGTTACGGCAGAGTGCGTTACACGACCAAGTGCTGCTCACTTGCACTGCCTGCTGGTTGCTAATGCCACGATCGGTCCAAATGAATCTGCGTGCGTCGGCCCCATCGGGGCAGAGGCCGGGACTCGCACAGGTGAACTGTTTCATCAGTTCACGCATGCTACCGAGCAGGCTGCTGCGTCCACCTTCTCGGAACCATTCTCTGGCGCGCTTGGTACTCAGCTGCCGCCGGGTGCCGGCCCGTCGCCGAGCCTCAAACCCCTCTCTTGTCGGCCTCCCTCGGCGGCGAAGGCGGCGCGGCGGAAGTGCCGACGCCAGCGGGTGGCGGAGGCGCGCAGGGCCGCGGGAGGCGTGCCTGAGCCTGCGGGGGCGCCGGCGGTGGCGGCTGCCGCAGAGGCGCCTGGCGGTGCGGTGTGCCACGCCCGCGAGGCCGAAGGCGACACGGCCTCCCTCGTTGACGGGTGGGCCGACGCCCCTCCCCGCGCTCCGCAGGGGCGGAGGCGGCGGCGAGACGGAGACGCTGCCAGCGGAGCCATCAGCGGCGCCCCTCGCGGCGCATGCGGCCTGCGGAGCGGCGGCCGCGGCCTTCGCGGAGGTCTCGCCGCGGCGGACGTCGTCTTCCGCCAGGCGACGGACTCCCAGCCCTCGGCCAGCGTCGAGCTCCGGCGCATGCTGGAGCCCGTTGGCCAGAGGCCAGTTGCCAGCGTCTGACGGAGTGACTTCGGTGGTTTGCCTTCTGTCGAATGCGGCACGGTTTGGCGGATTTCCCGCGTGGACGTCCTAGTTGACGCCGCACACCTCCCCCCCAGGGTGTGGCTTCGATGGGCCTGCCGCCTTTTGGGAGCGGCGCGGCCTGGAAGATATCCCGCGTGGGCGTCCCAGGCGGCACCGCAGACCTGGTGCAGGGCGGGCGCCTCGCGCTCAGGGCCACTGTTCGGGTTCGCTTCGACGCGGGTCGCGGGCGCTTCGCTGACGCCTCTGCTCGCACCCCAGCGGTGCCGAACGCCGCTCGGGCCGCCCGAGCGTTGGTCACAGCCAGAAACAAAGACCCCCAGTGGCCGTGGAGGACTGCGTCTCCCCCACCCAGTGCAGGACACCCCTCACGCGCTACGTGGCCGCATGTGGAGCGACGCAAAAGCACGGCAGTCCGAACGCCGCGGCAGTACCAACGGCGTGGTATTCGGTATTCTCAATTGCGCACGGATGGGTCCTTCGCCAGGATACTTGATCGGGTGGGCTTGTAGGAATAGGAGAGGCGAAGGAGAAGGATATACAGGAGGAGGAGGAGGCGGAGGAGGAGGGAGGAGGAGGAGGAGGAGGGGGGGGCTGCATCTGTTGCGCGCAGCCGGCGTCGGCCTCGCCACCGGGCGCTTGCCTCGGCGCAGTGAGCGCCCGCGGCTCGGCTGCACGAAGGAGTGGCTATTCGCCAGGGTGACCTCTGGTGCTGACTTCCAGGGGTGTTGGGGCGGAGTTTCTCTGGGGTTGCGTCCGCCCTTTCGTCGGCGCGCGCAGCGCAGGGTTGCGTTCGCATCCGAGCGACCCTGGGCAGGGGCCCCTCCTCACTATCGACTGCAGCGCGTGCGTGAGTTTCCCCGCGGCGCGCGTTGGTTTGACACGGGGGGCCCAGTCAACTTGGCGGCATTCTTCTCTCGCTTGGCCGGTCCCGGCTCGGCCGCCGCGTTTCCGAATCGGCCGCAGCGAATAATTTTGAATAGTGTTGCATGGCGTTCGGTTCGCATCCTGAGTTTCGCTTTTCGATGGGCACCTTCAGGATTGAGGTCTGCTCGCGCCCGGAGGCTACTTCGCCCAGCAGAGTCTGTGCTCGCAGCTCTTTCGGGGTGTCATTCGGGGCGCTCGAATCGAATTGGCGGATAACCGCAATCGCCCGCTGGCGCTGAGAGTCTTCCGAGGCGCGCCCCGCCGATCGTTGCTGCGGTGCGGCGGCAGCGGTTTGCGCGGCTGCGTCTGGCCCCCACGGGTCCCTTTAAAGCCGCGCGCCACGGGTCTTTCTTGCCCTGTCCGGCGTTCCCTGCGGGTTTCGGGTCCCAGTTGTTCGCGCGGTCGCTGTCCCTCCGCTGCTGTGTCTCTTGTTTGGCCGTCGCTCAATCGCCATTTTCGGGCTCTCGTGCGGTCCCGTTGATGCCCGGGACTTCGCGCTTGATTCTAACCCACGTCCAACGCAAGACAATTAGTTTGGCGAAGATGCGCAATTGTGAATGCCGTCGTTGTGGGTGTCGCCTTCGGTGGGGTTCCCTCTCGTGCCACGAAGCGTGTGAGGGGTGTGGCGAGTCGGGTGCGGGTGCGCCATGCGGATTGTGCCACTGGGGCTTCGAGCGGAGCTCTCTACAGGGCCACGGCGCGTGTGATGGGTGTGCCGACATTGGGCGGCGCCGCCATGCGAACCTTACCACTTGGGCCTTCCGTGGAGCTCCCTTAGGGGGCCATGAAGTTGAAACGTGTGCCAATTCGGTTGAGGTGCGCCATGCCAACTGCGCCACGGAAACCTTCGGTGGAACTCCGTAAGGGGGGCCACGAAACGTGTAAGGGGTGTGCCGAATCGGGTGCGGGTGCGCCATGCGGACAGTGCCGTTGTGGCCTTCGGTGAGCTCTGTAGATGGGCACGAAACGTGTGAGGGGTGTGCCGAATCGACCGCGGGTGCGCCATGGGGACTGTGCCGTGGGTGCTTGTGGTGGAATTCTTGTGAGTCCACGAAACGTGTGAAGGCGCGCCGTGCGAGTTGCGCCACGGGGGCTTTCGGTGGAGCTCCGCAGGGGGGCCTCGAAACGTGTGAGGGGTGTGCCGGACCGGGTGCGGGTACGTCGTGCGGACAGTGCCACTGGAGCTTTCGGTGGAGCCTCGTATGCGGCCACGAAACGTGTGAGGGGTGTGCCGAATATGCGCTGCTGGGGCCTTCGGTGGAGCTCCCTAGCGGGGCAGCACGAGACGTGTGAGGGGTGTGTCGAATCGGGCGTGGGTACGCCATGCGGATTATGCTGTTGGGGCCACGAAACGTGTGAGTGGTGGGTGCGGGGACGCTTTGCGGACTGTGCCGCTTGGGCCCTCGGTGGAGCTCCGTAGATGGGTGTGCCGAATCAGGTGCGGGTGTGCAAAGCGGATTGTGCCGATGGGGCCTTGGGTATTGGTCTCCATGGGCTACACAATGTGTGAGGGGTGTGCCGAATTTGGGTGGGGGTGCGCCGAGCGGACAGTGCCACTTGGGCTGTCGGTTGAGCTCCCGATGGGTCCACGAGACGTGAGCGGGGTGTGCCGAAGCGTGAATGATGGTGGTGGTGATACTGATGCTGATGCTGATGCTCGCTGCTGCTGATCATGATGGCGATGACGATAAGGATGAGGATGACGATGCTGATGAGGATGATGGGAGGAGGGAGGAGCGGGAGGAGGAGGAGGAGAGGAGTGGAGAGGGACGCTGGGCGCTGTCTCTTCAAGACGAGGACCCATTGCCAACACCACAGGATGGTTGGGAAAGAATCAGACAGCGCACCAGAGGTCAGACTTGCCCAGGTTCGCTCTCACGTCGGCGATGCGGCGCGATCCTGCAACCCCACCTGCTCGGACCCCATCTGGGGTGCCTCTATGGACGCCCCCGGACCGTCGGAGGGGGTAAGAGCTCGTCGGGGAGGGGGAGAGCGCGCGCGCGCGCCCGCCGGCGCGTCACCCGCTGCGCCAAGCCTCAAGCAGTGGCGAGGCGTCCTGGCTCGCCTGGGCACACCACAGTATGTTCTAAGAGCCGCTCGTGGTTTGCACGAGATATTCCTGGAACATTTCTGGCTGAGACCGTCTTGTTCCCATCCATCCTGTGGTGCTGGGCCGTCGTTTTGGAGAGACAGCGCCCCGCGTCTCACTCACACATCCCGCTGCCCCCTCATTCCCTCCCCTCCCTCCTCCCATCCGTGCTTCTGCTCTCTGCGTGTCCTCGTCGCCGTCATCATCAGCGTCAGCATCGTCATCATCATCGCCATCCTCAACATCATCATCAGTATCAGCATCATGCTCCCCCTCGTCGTCATCGTCATCATCATCAGCATCCTCATCATCATCATCATCATCATCATCATCATCGTCATCATCATCATCATCATCATCATCATGATCATCTTCACCACCAGCATCAGCATCATCATCATCATCATCATCATCATCATCATCATCATCATCGTCATCGTCATCGTCATCGTCAGCATCATCATCGTCGTCATCATCATCGTTCTCGTCGTTGTCGTCGTCGTCATCATGACCGCCTCCATCATCATCATCATCATCATCATCATCATCATCATCATCATCATCATCATCATCATCGTCATCATCATCATCATCATCATCACCATCACCATCATCATCAACATCAGCATCATCAGCATCATCACCAGTATCATCATCATCATCACCATTATCACCACCGTCACCGTCACCGTCATCCTCATCGTCGTCCTCATCACCATCGGCCTTCGGCCACCAATTTTGGCACACCCCTCACGCGCTTCGTGGCCCCATAGGAAGCTCCACAAAAAGGCCCCAATGGCAGGGTCCTCATTTGGGCGTCACACCCATCTCGGCGCACCTCTCACCCGCTTCGTGGCCACGCAGGGAGCTCTACCGAAGACCCAAGTGGCAGGGTCCGAATGTGGGCGTCACAACCGTTTCGGCACACCCCTGAAAACTTCGAGGCTCCACCGAAGGCCCCAGTGACAAAGTCCGCAAGTGGCCGTCACGCCCGTTGCGGCACACCCCACACACGCTTCTCGGCTTCATCGGGAGCTCCACCGAAGGCCTCAGTGGCAGGGTCCGCATGTGGGCGTCACAACCGTTTCGGCACTCCCCTGCCACGCTTCGCGGCCACAAATGGAGTTTCACCTCCGCTTGGCATCGCTCGGGCGTGTGCTTGTTGTTCAGCGAGGGCCATCGAGGAGCACCGTGGATCATCTTGCGGAACACGTGAACTTATGAAACCCCCTCACACGTTTCGTGGCTCCATAGGTCGCTCCACCTACGGCCCCAGTGGCAGGGTCAGCAAGTGGGCGTCACGCCCGTTTCGGCACTCCCCTCACACGCTTCGTGGCCTCATAGGGAGCTCCACCTAAGTTCCCAGTGGCAGGGTGCGCATGCGGGCGCCAGCAGCCATTCCGGCACACCCCTCACACGGTCCGTGGCCCCATAGGGAGTTCCACCGAAGGCCCCAGTGGCAGGCTCCGCATGTGGGCGTCACGCCCGTTTCGGCACTCCCCTCACACGCTTCGTGGCCTCATAGGGAGCTCCACTTAAGTTCCCAGTGGCAGGGTCCGCATGCGGGCGCCAGCAGCCATTCCGGCACACCGCTCGCACGGTCCGTGGCCCCGTAGGGAGTTCCACCGAAGGCCCCAGTGGCAGGCTCAGAATGTGGGTGTCACGCTCGTTTCGGCAATCCCCTCACACGCGTCGTGGCCCCATCGGGAGCTCCACCTTTGGCCCCAGTGTCAGGGTCCGCAACTGGGCGCGTCACGCCCGTTTCGGCACACCGCTCGCACGTTTCGTGGCCACATGGGGAGCTCCACCTAAGACCCCACAGGCACCGTCCACATTTTGGCGTCACCACCCTGTTGACCCTCCCCTCCTACGTTTCCTGGCAGCTCCACCGAAGACCCCAGCAGCAGCGCCCGCATGCGTTCCCAGGCCCAGTTTCTTGCACCTCTCGCACGCTGCGTGGCCC